ACATTATCGAAACCCAGCGGATATTTTGGACGGTAACAACAACGGGACACGTTTCTGAGTGTAATTAGCAGATAACAGAATCTTATCTGTCTTGATGATATTGTGTAGACCAGACCATTCTGATGTTGATTAGCATGGTGGTTCTGTACTAACTACCTAATAGGGCTGTAGATTTATCAGGCCCGCAAACGTCAGCAATGTAACGAGATAATGAATTCATTTAAAGGGTAAAGAGCATAGTCCAGCTTAGCTCATAGCCGAAGTCGCAGTCATTCACCATTGCAGTCTTGTTGCTGGTGAAGTCATTGGATAAACAAGTTTTGCACAAGTCGGCTAATTCAAAAGGTTCGAGCCGATCAACTTCAGATTTTCAGGTAATTTCATCGACGACTGAATCAATTTCTATCCGATCAAGTAACTTTGTGTCCTATAGATAGGCAGTTTGTTCACGGTTTGCAACTCCAGTATCGAATAAGGTACAGGGTTATCTGATCAAAACTAACATAGACGGTTGGGCTCGGTTATGGTCCAGTGTGCCTAACAGTTAATGATAACTAGCCTGACTGCTGTTCCTTGATTAACCAACTCAGTTCATTCGCGCGTTCGTTATAGCTGTGTTGTCGCGATATTTAGTCATCTGAGACCTGGCTAGCATATTCCGTTGCTTCTAACTAAGTATGACCTTGCGTATCACTGCATGCTCGTGAGGATGTCCCGGCGATAAAGCAACCAACTCGCCATTCATTCTTCATTCCCAAGCTTAAGGAGACAAGTGGACGGACCGACTTTTCAGTTAACTATGTCCGTAACAGTGAACTTCTCAATGATGTTTTCGAAACCTACTTTCAAATGTCGCGATTTCCCAGGTGATTTCGTTCAAATGTCGTGCGTTCATTCACCCTGATACCTCGCATTTGAGCTCATTAAGCAAGAATGATCTCTCGAAAGGAGAGCCCCCTGTACATTTGAACATTTTAAAAAATGTCCAAGCTGACACAGGACATGCTCAGCAAGCTAGTGTATTGCGTGAATGTAGATCGGCTGCAGGCACTTTTTGGGATGTCGATTATTTATCTTGCTGATACGTTGCTTGAGATAGCTTCGTTTGGATCTAGATACCATTATCCCCGCCTTTCTGGCGGTCACCTAGGGCTTGATCTTCAGCTTGAGGACTTTTTTTATAAACTGACTAATTCCACCACATGTTCCATCTAGGACTTGGAATAAATTAGATCACAGATAGTGAGCATGTGTTACAATTATCGTAACTCAAAGGTAGTTCATAAGAAGTCATGTTACTTTAGCACACCTTTTAGATTTCACATTGCCGCTTACACGTGAGGATGTTTTTTATAGAAGGTCGGATAAGAATGTTCGAATAGTATTCAGCGTTATGTCCGATTTCTTTGATAAGATGACGTGAAATTTGTTGGATAAAATTAAATTCTAGATAATATAGAACGAAAAATGCAAGACCGCACTATCTGAGACCCGGGTTACCGCATGTTCGATCATTTGATTTTTTGAAAGCACCGGTTGGGTTGAAAGCTGATTGGAAAAAAATTGTCCATTTGCTTGTCTACTAATCTTTCGGTGAAGAAACATCCAGAATATCATTTAATTTTAAAAGAAATCATTTAACAGTACGAAATGATTGTCCATACCAACTGCACGTGTGCATGCGAGATGAAAATGACAGCATAGGAAAACCCGCAAAAACGTGTAGACGAACCGTGGGAATTTCACATCGAGCGGAATCTACGTTGGGGATGATGGCACTGTTCATATAATTGGTCTGATAGACGTAGCAGTACCATAAATTCTGCTGATCGTAGGTTTTGGACAGAAGGTTAAATGCAGACTGTTCTTGACAGGGTGCCTGTGTGCACACACAAACAAAAATATAAATACTTAATTCACGTGCAGTTATTCCAACGCGCAAACAAACGTTTTAAACGGTTAGTATGTGCGTATGTGTATTACTTCACTTAATATGAAATAGGTGGGTACTTCAAGTGTTCTGATAGCAAATAATTTAACGCTATTTAGGTAAAGTTGCATAGTGCAAAGATTTGAAATCCTTACATCTAACTTGGTCTGTTCTTTCGTTAATTTTTCACATAGTACCTTAAAGCAGGTTCCTTTTTCTTCGCCAAGTTTATTGTTGGTTACGATGGTCATTCTATTAAAATACTGTTGTAAAATATCATAAATTACGGTTGGGCATATATGATTTAGAGTTCTTTAAAATAGTAGACCTCTTCGTATTGAGTAGAAGAAAATTTGCATGATCGGATATATACTTTTAGATCGTAAGAGCAAAGAATTACTGAACATGCTTTGATTTTAGCGTTTGGCGACCACGCAACTTAGCTAGCAGTGTATTCAGTTCACTCTCGTTTTTGAGGCATCATCATGCCCTGTCATTGTTTGATCTTAAGCCAATAAATTCTTAATTTTAATGTCGCGTACACATCCGCGTTCATCATCCTGCTAGAACTGAGTCTTCACCGTCTGGCCCCATCTGTCTCATCAAGCGGCATTCCCGTTCTCTTATGTTTTGCACGCCTCCTTCTCTCCCGCACGATCGACAGACGGTGAGTACAACGGAAGGAATACGTTATCCGCATGTACTTCTACCAAACTGGTATAGTGGTAGCGTCATCAAGTTAGCACACCGTGTTCAACACTCCTGTGTAAGACTATATGACATCAAGTGAGGTCACTAAAGTGAGTGTCCAGAACGAGAAGGCAGATGATTGAAATTGTAGCGTCTTGTACAGCATTTTGCGTTACATAATTCTCGTTGTTTTTCGCACTTTTCGCCTTCTTCAAATTCACATGTACAGTCGTTTAAATCATGTGAGTCGATTCATTGATCAATACAAAAAATTGGTTTCCAAGGTCGCGAGCCCTGTGTTCTCTCTCTGCGTCCAGTGTAACGTGCGCTCAGATTTTTGGGAGAGTTAACGGCTAACGGAATCCGCATTTATTTCAGCACATTTCCAAACTCATCGGTCGTCGGAATCATCTTCGTTGTGACCTCTAAAGTTACCTGGGAACTATACAACGGATCGTATCTACTGGATACGTCATTCAGTGTGGTGGAACTCTAAACGACGCACCTTCACGAACTACTGTGAGTCAGTTGTTTCCGCTTTTTATCACTTTTTGATTTCGTGTCCACACTTGAACTGTATATAGCGTTTAGATCCACTACAAAATGAACAGAATCTAATAACTTACACGACTAGTAACGATAAGTAGCAGTCATCGGACATTTCTGCAATCCATATCCGTAAGGCGGGCTAAACATGCGTCTGAAATCTAAGTGCTCTTTCTCAAAGTCTGGGTTAAAGCGCCCCAAAAAGTCGTAACGCTTTGAAAGCATTTCGAAAAATTGTCATCGCTCCATCGGAACAACAGCAAACGCTCCAAACTGCCTTCGTGAGAGAAACTGACAACTCTAACGCTGTGAAAAGTGTACCGTTTTGTCAGAAAGTGCTGTTAATGCTCAGTGGGAATTACTGTGGAAAAGATCGGTATTTCACGAGTAGTTTGTTTGGATCATTAATATTCGGACGTACAACTCTGAACCCTCCACTAAGAAGGAGATCCTGTAGGCATACGGCTGCCGATGATGGATAATCAGCGACTGTGAATGGCGATCGTGTGATGGCTGGTAATCACGCAATCCGAGATCACTATATTGATCCACTAACTGACTGTGTTACTTATTATTTTCAGATACAGAGTTGTGGATGGTTTGGTGATCCAACGTAAAAGCCAGCTTTGGTTGCTACTTTGTCGTTTCTAGTCGAAAAGATGCGAAGCGCAGTTGCTATACAAATCCACATTTCAACCTTGCCGCTCATTAAATCAGCAGATTCCGTTGGACATTACATTTACCGCCCAATTTGCAGTTGGAAGAAGTAGAACGATTCAACTGTGAACGAGACTAAGACCATGGAGTGGCTGGATGCCGGTTATATGGAACTTACGCAAGTCATTAACACACTCCTCAGAGCTATAAAGACTGCATTATGCTCATGGTTTGTATTGATTAATTTTTGTATATCCACTTGGGATGTAGTGTTGAAAAGACAGTGAGGAATGCCACACAGCAAAATGAGCACGGATGTTTGACTGGGCCAAGAAATAAAACTTCTAATCTTCCGGCGTTGACTTTATGGCACAATATGGATGTATTTGGTTCATACCAATCGTATGAATTAGAACTACGTATGCAATGATTTTTTAACAATGAAAATATTTAAATCTCTGGGGAATAGGACATGCAACTGAAGAAAGCGGGATGTGACCCACCTCAGGATTGCCAAGGCACAAGGAAGGCGAAGGTTTTGAAGGTAGCTCAAAACTGGCCAAGTGCCGTAAATTATCACTGTTCAGTCGTAGTAGGGTGTTACTGTGTAAAATAAACGAAGAACAGAAGATTGCAAGTATCGCCTTACATGAGTACAACAAGTTTATATATTTAACCAATTAAGAAGGACCTCAAATAAGTAAATGGGGGAGTCACCTGCAACTAACTAATGCACACACAATTGTTGGTGGAAAACATCAAAAGCATGCGACAGTTTTGTGTTTGACTACCCTTCGAAAATATAGACGTCCTTGTTCATGTGTTTGACGGAGACAAGTTAGCCAGTTGTAGCCTTTTCAATCACTCGTATGCCATCCGTATAGAGGTTAGTTCCGTTGTATCTAGTGTGGGGTATATAATACAACCTGTCTCAAGTGAGCCACACGGTTGCGTTTGAAAGCCATGGGACACATGGTAACCCCTTGAAGGAGGGGTTGTATGGAATCACATGATATAATATTGCAAGAGAACAAAAAGGGAACGACATCAGCCGACTACGTTTAACCCAACCCAGTCAAAACATACCTCTTACCTAATTATTACACACAGGTTACCCCCAAAATATTTAGTTTTTAAAAATAACATAATGCAGAAGATACTCAATCGCGGAAAATCTGGACTTCGGCTGGATTCGAACCAACGGTAGAAGCAACATGGACAGATGTGACAAGTGGTCTACCAGCTGAACTACGAAGCCACACTAGAGTCTCAGCGATTTCACATTTGGACCTACTTACCAGTCCAATCCAATCTGTCCTACGGACTCCACCAAATGATCCACAGGAATGGCTGTCCAAGTGAGGTTTCATAAGTAGTTCACGCTGGATTCTATCTACGTCACCAATCAACAGTGAAGCCTTTTTGCTCACAAGTTGACTGAATATTCCCAATGAAAACTAACTAGCCCGTTTTATTTTACATCGTGCCTAGCAGTTCATTTTTGTGACTGTCAAGTCAACCAGAAGCAGCGTTGAAGAACGACTGCCCATGAATTCATAGACCATTCGGAGGCAGAATAATGCAATGAACGTTTGCGGAGGTTTCAGCGCCATGCCGGACAAGAAGACAGCGGCCTTGAAACTGACTGTGCCGTGAGTAAGCAAGCTATGGTCATGATGAACAAGATATGCTAGAAGTTAGACCACTGTGGAATACATGTGCAAAATGTTGGTATTTATGAAGTCACCGTGTTTCAACCAGTTCAAAGGTTCCACAGCACTAGACATACTTAAGCGGTACGTGGGTAAGGAAAGCTTACCTTCTGCGAATAAAATACCTGGTTACGATTAGTTGAACTGACTGAAAATCCACAATTTCACAACGGATTTGCCAACATTCAGTAACTATGCTAATTAGTAACGTTTTTTTGGAATCAGAGACGAAAAGCTACTAATGAACACGACTGACGATTACTTTGAAGATAGTTTTGCTGAATTGACATTATTGGTATACATTTCGGCAGCCGCGCTGGTGATTTGTTTTGAAAAATAAACGCTGGGTGAAAGGGTAATCTGTGTGTAAACTGCGTACGAAGGTGATGAGCATCCACGTTATAACGATTCAGTTTCCTGTACTTCAATTAGCAACCAATAAGGCTCTGGTTCTTCCGCGGAGTTAACTGCTTCAACCTAACGAAGAAGTCCTGATCACTGGATCATCTACTCGAGTAGACATAGCGTCTCTGTTTATTTTCCTATAAAAGTTACCGGCTCAGGCTCACAGTGTATACAGAAAATTGCTGTTAGAATTCTGGATACGATTATTCCGTAGTGCCTATTACAAGGTTAGTGACTTTACGGTTAACACGCTCGTTTCGCCATTTTGAAGTCTGTCATGGAAATTTCACTTCGAACACAGATGTATGTTACGGATGCAAAACGAGAGCTTAATGGTATATGGTGTATGGTACTCTATTTGTGAAAGTTTAGGTGTTTGCGAAGAGTTATAGCCAACGTATGTTCACGTTGACAGATTTTTTGTGCTTCTGACATTTCGTCGACAGAGAGAGAGAAGGCTTACAAAATCAAAGATTGTTAGTTAACGAGGTATACTCCGGAACCTATCAGATGTGGGTGAACTCTTTCAAATTCATTATATAGTCATTCACTACTGGTTGTCTGTGATATGGACACTCATGTGAAGATTAAGTGAATTAAACTCTTCTGCTAGGATAATTGTTATCGAGATCGAAGAGCTAAATCGTGATTTCAGCAGGATAGCTAATAGTTTCTTCCCAGCTTCCACAAGGTTCTATTTGTCTCTTGACGCATCCATCCCACTGAGGATTCGGCTGTTCGGAAAAAACGTGTTCGGTTGGGATCCAACAAAGTAACTGAAGATGACGGTTTCATATTAACAGTTAGCAAATAATGTAGAGGATGTTTTGTCGACTACAGGCTAAGTCGTTAATTCGGTGTTTCGTGAACCGCTGAACTGCTGACTGTTAGAAGATGGCACCAGTAAAAGTAATCCGTAAAACGAAAACGGCTAACTTTCACCCGATTTCGCGCACAACCGTATGGTTGAAAATCTTGAAAAGCTAATTCTCGTCCGAATAGCAGTTCAACTGAACGTTACAAACTCTGACCTCATTTCCCATCGTTTGATCACACATTACTGTTGATATTTTTATCTACTTCATTTATTCTGTCATCGCTAGTTTGCAAGTTTAGCGCTGTTCAAATATGGTTCTTAAACTGTAACAGTGCTACTGGTAATGAGTCGCTAACAAAAATGAACAACTAGCTTGATGCTCATCTCTCAGCCATCAATTTTTGATCAGTTATTTTACTACTCCCTGTCAAAATATACCAATTAGTTGTCATGTTTTGTCATCATTGACTCTGCTGTTCTCCAAGGTGAAATTCCTTTTCCATTTTTGTTCAATTTTTTTTTGAGCTTTCATACCAGTTCGTGATCGCACATTCGCATATAGACATCCGGATGATATATTGTTGGACATTAAGTACTGTACTTCATTTTTGTCACTTGCGGTAGTGAACGGTTTGTTCGACCTTCGAAATTGGTCACAGACAAGCTTTGAACAAGTTCGCATGTAACAGTATTATATGAAAGCTGTTCGCTCCGTTGTCATTTGGCCAACTGACCTTCGACTTCGGCTTCTTTCGATTGGGTTTTTATGGGTCAGTTTAAGAATTATGATGAATTAGTCATTTGCTTTTCAGGTTGATTCCATTGAGGTCAAAAATCTGTCTTCTTATGCTGGCGTTTAGTATATCCCTTCATTGTGTATCACCCAGTCAGTCGATTGATCAAGGGAAGGTTGTCCCCGCAATGTGTATTGTTCTATTGTACTTTTCTTCTTTTCCGATTTCTTTTCGAAATATCTTATAGTGTTTGCTGCATTCTTAAGGCATTCATAACTTTGTGGTGTACGTTCTATCGGATACTTAGTAAGTCATAACGTCCCCCTATATGTGTTGGTGTCAATGTATGGGTAGGTGCACACTTCATTTGGTCGTTTGGCAACTAATATGCTTTTCTTTTCAGAAAATTGGATGTCTGAGGTTTTCTACCCATTCTTTTCTCTAGTTTGTTGGTGTATTCTACGAGGAATGGTTTGTCTGTTCTTTCTGTAGTCCAACTTGAATGTTGCTCTTCATTTTAATCCTCTCTGGAATGCAGTAACTTATACCCGTATACTGAAATACTTCCTGTATTACATTTCACATATCTCTCTTTACCGTATAGGTCTTGTCATTGCAGTCTTTCTGTCTCTTTGTTTTCCAAGAGATAAAGGTTTCCGTTTCGTGTTAGCCATTCAGTTGGCTAACCAGCATTGACCGGCTGGACATAAAGGCCTCACTCATGCACCTACTGGTCTTATTCCTTCGGGGTTTACACCGGATACGTGGTGTGTGAGTGGAACCGCAAGTGGTGCAGCGCAAGCCATTTGCGGTTATGGTTAAAGCTCAGGCATCCTTTAGCTTTGGTCATTGTGACCAGCTAATCCGTTTCGGATGCTGCCAACCAGATACATACTTTAAATAATTCAAGATATCTCAAAACGCATGTTAATTTATTCCAAAGCATTTAGTGTAGACAAAGGAAATCAATCAACATGTGTATGCAAGGTCAAGGGACGACATTATCTGGATCGTCGACAACTCAGATTACAACCTGAATTGACTTCCATACATACTAGCTGTTTATGTCTAACTGAAATCGCTAACTGCATTTGTTCAATGACTATTTGATGTTTGTAATTTGGTCAGAGCATCATAAACAAGCATTCTGATCTACTGAATATATTTTGTGAATAAACCATCTTTAAATTGTACTGGCTTTATTTTAGCAGTCAGTCAGTTTTATTATTGATTGTTCATTTTGTTCTGACGGAAAAACGTAAATGGTCGGACGCTATAAACTCGGAATCACACAAAAGTTCATTTTGTGGGGTGCTGAAATCAGACTCTGCATTGGCTAATTGATCGGCAGACGTGAAAATAAGCTTACATGAGCTTGTCAGACCGGTCAAATACTTAAACACTATGTTGTCGTGTATATTAGTGTGTTTGTCACCTCACTAACAAAACGGAAGATTACAAATAGCTGCTAGTTATCGACAGGGCCACTATGCATGCGTTCATTTTCAGCATAGGGCGATTCGCTGGATATTGCGAACGAGCACAAGGTTGGGTTACGTTTTCTATTACAGTTAGCCTCACAAATGATATTTTTTGTGCACTGTTATAATCACCATTCATACGCAGCAATCACCACAGTTAAAACCTACTCACTAAGATGATAGCGTCCTCATTAGCACTGTTCGAAACTGATAATTCGTTTGGCTTGTTAGGCTTGTACTTCACCATTGTCATTGGCAGTCTACACGACTCATTTAAACCTCACTTGACCAACAATAACACAAAGTTGTTTTCATCAGCGAACGGCGCCATCACTGGACGAACCACACGTGATCTTATGCGTACACGTGTGTCTCCATATGATCAGGTGAGCCGGCTCATAACAAAACACCAAACACACCGGATGATTTCCTCACAATAATCTGACTGTTGAATTTAACCTCTCACCCAAGTCTGTTACACCTTGAGTATATCTCCGTTCTTTTCACAACCAATACAACGATACCCACCACAATTTATTCCACATTTCCCATTAACTGTGGGTCAGTACATTTTGTCTTCTGTCTGGTGTTATCCTACATGACTGTATTTTGTACTGCCGCTCGTTCGCATTCAGCAGTTCGCTCATCAAGTATTGTTTAATTGCATGTTTGATAGAATAAAAAGATTATTATAGTTCCTTTTGTGATTGTGGTCATTGGTAATCACAACAAATAAGTCAGAAGACATGTGATCAGAGCTGTCAACGATGCCAAGTCAATCATAATCACGAACGCAAAGTTAAGTGAATTCCTTGAAATAGCAGAAGAACTATTAGCGGAACATTTGACTAGTATTGATGCCATTTTTTCTAACTCACCCGTTTGCTACCACATAAAGACTTTTCAGCTCTGGTAGCTCAATCAACCGGGTATAATTACTTGTTCGAAGGTCGAAGTAGACGGCCCCGGCACCAGATGCTAGGAGCTCTGCGAGGTGAAAAATAATGAACAGACAATCGTGAGATTGAGTAGTGACAGAAGGCATAACAGAAGTTGGTAGCATTCTAAATGTACTACTACATCAAGCTGATAGTCAGAACAAAACGAAG